CTGCCCGGCGCGCTCCCGCCGCTGGGTCTGCCGGCAGGGCGGCCCGGCGGACGCGCGTTTGCACTTCCGAGCCGCTGCACGCCGAGGCCCGGGCTGGGAGCCTCTTTCGGACCCCGTGAGTTAGCCTGAACCCGTTAAGCCTCCAGCGGAGCGCCCCTGCTCTGCCGGCCTGACGCTTCCCCAGCCCGACGAGCTGACAGGCCAGGGGGCGGGCGAAGTTGCCCACCGGTTGGAGGCCAGCTGGCTTCCTGGACCCTGGCCTTGCTCTCTGAGGGGGTGTTCCTAGGGCTGGTTTCACTGTCTCCTGGCGCTGAAGGGTGGAGCTGGGATGCCGACGTGTTGTTGCTTTTCAAATCAAACTTGCCGTTTTAGGGGCCGCTCTGGCGGGCGTTCCACGACTTGGGTCATGGGGGCAGGGATTAGGGATTTCGGAAGGTGTTTGATTTGAAAAGGATGGCATGACATGATGTAGGTGGTTTGCTCCCCCCTTTCCTCCCATTTTTTCAAGCCCCATGTCCTTCCCCTCTTCCCTGGGTTTTGGGGTTTATTACCAGTTTGGCAACAGTACTTCTGGGGCCCGGACTGAAAAGCTTACAGTGACCAACCATTAAACTGGAATAGTCTGTCCAAGTGGAGGAAGCCCATCGTTTGAGACCATTAACACTGGATTCTGCACAGCCCTGCAACATGACTGTAGGGATGACTCTGAGCTGGCCAGAATGGACACGTTCATGACCAAATAGGCCTTTTCCGTCCCTGGCGTTTCCGTGTGGAGTTAGAGCTAGAAAACAAGAACTCAAGAAGGGAGGGTTGTCAAATCAGATCAGGTCCGGATCTGATGGCTGCACGTGCTGCGCCTTTAAACCTTGGTTCATAATGACTGTGTCGCCTGAGTGATCAGGCTTGCTTTTCCAAAGTGTGACTTGTGACATTTATTATTAAAGTTTGGTAGGCGACGAAGTCTGAGCTCTTCATACGGTTTTCCGTATCATTCTGTGCAGCACTTGAATTAGGTCTTCCAAAACTGGTGGGGAGCAAACGCTGCACATGTACATGTGTAACACTTTAAAATGAGAATCTACATTTGTAAGTTAAGGAGGTTTACATCAAAATAAAATTAATTTTGAAATTTAATAAAATTCCATCATTTGTTTGCCCTGGAATTTTTGGCTTTTTTCCTGTAAATGTCTTTTTTTAAACATTAATATTTTTGGCTCCCATTACAAAAGTCAGCGTTAAAAAATTAGACACACTTTTGTTTGTCTCTCTACATTTGTTTTTGAAATCCTAAATCTGAGTGTTTTCAGTAAAATTTACTAACTTACTCATTTATTATCTAACTGTTACACATTGACAGCATTCTCATTGAATCTTGTGTGTTAAAAGCATAGCAGAAAGTGCTCTCGTTCTTAATTTGGCTAAAGTACCTATTGGTCCATGTAAGAGAAACATGGATGTGTCTTCATGTATGTTATTTCCTGGGGGTATAAAGTTAAGAAAATATTGATACTGTATCTTCTAATAGTTTTGCTCTGTTTCCAGTGAACCTCCTTAAACTGCATGTATATGTCACTGTTCCTATGTATGTGTGTCTCTCTATCACATAACCCAGCACTTATTTCCTCAGCCAAGTGGCTAGGGGGCGAGCCTAGCCAAGATTTTACCTCCAATGGACGCAAGTTTCTTTGGTGAAGATCTCTCCTGAGAGTTCGGGACTAGCAGAAAGAAGCGAGGAAATTTCGACCGTTTGGTTCTTACGGATAGGTATTTATGTATTTGGTTTGTGTGAATGTAAGCTATGATATTTAACATTTCAGAAAAAACATATATTTTTTTTGCAAGTGGCATTGAATGGTTGACCAAACCGTAATGGTAAGAACTGCCAGTGAAGTGGATACCACTTATGTTAATAAAGGATTGTTTGCCTTTAATTATAAGTTTTACCATACTTTAGAAAGACTTTGTAGAAAAGACTTTGTTAAGATAATTTGAGTTTAAAAGTAGGTGAGCTATGACTAGCCAAATTAATTATAACTCCGGGAAGAGTTTTTAATATTTGTTTTAATATTTATTTCTTTATTTTAATCGGTAAGTATATAAAATATCACACACACACCAGTCTAGACGTTAATTTCCTTTTGTTGACCAGCTTGTTCATATTACAGATATGATGGACGTGGTCACCTGCATGACCTTTCTGAGTACGATGCTGAGTATTCCACATGGAACAGAGATTACCAGCTATCTGAAGAGGAGGCACGAATAGATGCCCTGTGTGATGAAGAGAGGTATTTAGCCTTGCATACGGACTTGCTTGAGGAGGAGGCAAGGCAAGGTACTGCTCAAGAAAAACTTACTTAAGCAACAAACTTTTTAAAAAATTTTAAGTATTTTAAAAAATTACCTCCCATTCATTTTTTTTATACTCACTCTTTTTGATATTATCTTGACAGTACCCAGTGGATTGGAAAACAGGAGTCTTTGCGTTTTGAGAGGACCTCAGGATAGTTTATATATAGAGCCCCAAAGAATTTTTCCAGCTTTTGAGGGCAGACTGGGATTTGAAAAAAAAAAAAAAAAAAAAAAAAAAACTCTTTAACTGTTCTTCTTTAACAGTATCGTATAAATAAAATTGATGTTGTTGTCTTTGCTGTAACGATCTTTAATACAGTTCTTAATCCCAAAGTTTTCTCAGCAGGAAGAAATTTTCCACAAAGACGTGTATTCAGCTGTCTATGGGTAAATGTGTACTGGCAGAAGTACATATCAATAGATATAAAGTGTGAATTTTAAAAAACATTTTTGCCTTGAGAGGAGGTTGAAAAAAGTATGTTGTATGCTTTACTGATAGCTACAACTTTAGAGATATAAACAGTTTTCTCAGTAAATGTCCATTTTTGTTAATAAAGTTCTTATTTTTATTCAAGAGGAAGAATACAAGCGATTGAGTGAAGCGCTGGCAGAGGATGGGAGCTACAATGCCGTAGGCTTCACTTATGGCAGTGACTATTATGACCCGTCAGAGCCGACGGAGGAGGAGGAGCCGTCCAGACAGAGAGGTGAGGGGCCTGCGGAGGATGTGGGGGTGTGTCCACATACGTGCATGTTCCACGTGTGGGCTCTAATTGTAGCATCACTATAACACTTAGAAGAAACATGAGTGTATTCCTTCTTTTAGGAAAACAAAGTTAAAAGCTAGAAAGTGAATTTTTAGTGGAGATGGAAGGTAAATTCAGAATTTCATTATCTGCATTGGGTCAAGTTGTCTTTTCATTTGTTTCTCTTTGATTCAGGTCACAGAAAATTATTCACTGTGGATTCTCTGTTTCTAGATTGGGGTAACATATTCATTAATATCCTCAGTGAGTCATCGTTGGGGCATTGAAAGAATAGGCATTGCTGGGCACAGTGACTCATGCCTATAATCCCAGCACTTTGGGAGACCGAGGTGAGAGGATTGCCTGAACCCATGGGTTTGAGACCAGCTTGGGCAACTTGGTGAGACCTCATCTCTACAGTAAATCAAAAAATTAGCCAGGCGTGGTAGCGCATGCCTGTAGTTCCAGCTTGGAGGGCTGAGGCAGTAGGTCGTGGCTGAGGTGACTGTGAGCGTGCCACTGCATTCCAGCCTGGACAACAGAGTGAGACTCCAACTCAAAAAAGCAGGAAACAATAGGCATTAACTAGGTTAAGTTAATGTCACCTTACCTCCTCTCTAACCTGCTTCTATGTGTCCCCTCCACAACTGAGATAGTGACAAATGTCCAGTGGAAGGCCACCTATGGAGTGAGTGATTACTTAATAGAAAACAGCACAGGACTTTCTGGTAGTCTTGGTAGGACATAGGGAATATACTTCTCACAGTACTTAAAAAATTTTTAATTCACACTATTCTGGATTAAGTCAGGAAACTTTGAAACTATAGTGCTACTGAAAACTCTGGGCTCATGTAGTACAGGAACAAATATGCTTAGTCACTTCGGTAAGCCTAGAGAATACCATTAACCACTTCACTGTGTAATGATCAATCAGTAATTATCAATAATGATAGTAGGATCTGAAACAGTGAAGATGGATCACTTATATTCAGGACATTCTGTTTAAATATAACTTTAGAAATCCATTCAAATGTTTAGAATAATAAAGTGGAATTATATCCTGTAGTGATTTTTTTTTTTTTTTTTGAGTTGGAGTCTCTATTGCCCAGGCTAGAGTGCAGTGGCACACTCACGGCCACCGCAGTCTCGACCTGCTAGACTCGGGTGATCTGTCCAACTCAAACCTTCCAAGTAGCTGGAACTACAGGCGTGCGCTACCATGCCCGGCTAATTTTTTTATTTATTGTAGAGATGAGGTCTCGCCTGCCCAGGCAGGTCTCGAACCCACGGGCTCAGGCAGTCCACTCACCTCAGCCTCCCAAAGGTGCAATTACAGGCTGAGCCACCGAGCCTGGCTGATTTAATTTTAGAGCTAATTTAGTCGTTATTTGGGACTTAATGGGTTTCCCCTTGAGTAACACACCTTTTAAGAAGTATGAAGCAAATCTAGCAGTTTAATATTAAAATAATATTCTGTCCTGCATCTATGCTAGGGTTCTGACTTCCCTGTTCTCCAAGGGCTGTGGTCCTAATGAAATAATAGGATGTAGGGGCCAAAGCACACACACGTGGGCTTTCCGTCTTGCCCTTCCTTTAGTCCTACTGATTGTGTTATGGCTACAGGATTACTACTGCTCTGCTTTATTTTATGAGTTTTTAAGAGACTTTCGAGTGTAATTTTAACTATATTGAGTTCAAGGCTATTTAAGGCATTAAGCACCTTTTGCATTGACTTTGGAACTTAGCCATCCCTCAGAAGTTATGTCACACTGGAGATGCTCTTGCAGCTTTGAGAAGTAAACACCCATTTATTTATCCAGAACAGTTACCCTTTTTAGCATTCTGGATAGTTCAGGCTTTGTTGTCTCATCTCTGAACCACATGCATTATTTCTGCTCTAGACTGGTGGTGTTTTGTATCGGAAGAAAGGATACATACTATCTTTTTCTTTTTTTTTTTGAGTTGGAGTCTCACTCCGTCACCCAGACTGAAGTCCAGTGGCACACTCTCGGCCACTGCAACCTCAACCTGCTGGGCTCCGGCGATTCTTCCGCCTCAGCCTTCCAAGTAGCTGGAACTATTAGGCGTGCGCTACCATGCCCAGCTAATTTTTTTTTACTGTAGAGATGAGGTCTCACCAAGTTGCCCGGGCGGGTCTCGAACCAATGAGCTCAGGCAGTCCACTCACCTCTGCCTCCCAAAGCGCTGGGATTACAGGCTGAGCCACCAAGCCCGGCCAGGATACGTACAATCACCGTTCACACATGAAGAGTTGAAATGCAATTGACCCTTTGTATTCCTGGGTTCTGCATCTGCTGGTTTAACCAACCACAGATCTAAAATATTTTAAAGAAAATAACAATTTGATTAATTAATTAATTTAATTCATTTAAATGTAAACATATCATATAACAACTACTTCCACAGCCTTTACATTATATTAGATATTATAAGTAATCTCAAGGTAGTTTCAAGTATGTGGAAGAATGTGTGTAAGTTATGCACAAATAGCCATTCTGTAGAAAAGACTTGAGCATTCTAGAATTTGGGTGCCTTCAGGCGTCCTCCTGGGACCAATCCCCTCCAAATGTGGAGGGAGGGCTGTGTAGAGGCCACATGTCTTTTTCAAGATCCTGGTGACAATCTTTGAAAAGTTCATTATGTGAATTCGAACATTCTAGATTAGCAAACCATAACCACAGTCCCAGTTGGCAGGCGTTTATAAAGTTAGTTTTGTTGGAACACGGCCACACTCATTTGTTTACATGTTGTCTGTTGCAGCTTCTGCACTCACAGCAGAGGTAAGGAGATGAGACAGAGCCCATATGGCTCACAAAGCCGAAAATACTTACAGTCTGGCACTTTATCGAAAGAGCTTGTCAGCCCTGTTCTAGATGGTGGACCATTGTCTTTGTGTAATTATTGGGCTTACTGGTGTTAGCTATTATAATGACTGAATTCTAAAACACTTTCATTGTGATTTAGTTATTCTCTAAGTATTAGTTTGCATTTCCTTTGACATAAAGTTCTTTTCAGTATTTTTTAATGTTATTTCTTTTCTTTTTGTAATCATGTTCTCAGATCTTTACCTTATATGCTGTTTAATTTTTTACCGGAAACTGGACCCATGTGAAACTTAGAGTTTGACATTTTATGTTTAACTTGCATTAATATAAATAAAACAACATACACACACTTTAATAGAATTGAATTTGGTACCCAATACCGCTAAACAGATGAATTTAGTGACACATTCTTTTAAAATCAAAATGTTTTTTCCAGAGCTGTCAACATGTACAAATATATCTTGATTTTCAAAATTACTTCCTTCTTCAAAAGCATGTGGGTGGTGCTCTGTCTCTGTAGGCCTTTCTCCTCTCCTTTTTGCAGCATTCTGTTTTCAGCCTAGTCCTGAGCCTTTGGATTTTCATAATTTACTATTACTCTATCCATTTTAAACAAGAAAATATTGTTATTTGAATTTATTTAAATCTGAGTGTATTGCAGTGGTTGGTTTTCATTTTGTGCTACTAAAGCTATTTTTCTATAAATAAAGGCTTATATAGAATAGAACAAATCTGTTTAACCCATCTATTCCAAGTAGCTGTTTCCATTAGAATGCCTTTATTTTTGTGAACAACTTAACATTAAGGAAAGACTATTTGAATCACTTTTTTCATTTTAGGAAAATATAGTAAGAGTTGTTTTTAAACACATACCCCTAGCTTCATTCCCAAAGAGGTTTTAAGAAAGCAAAGTTGTTACTTGGTGTTTTGCCAGTGGAACATCTCTGCGAGCCAGTGTTTCCTATTCTGCCAGCTCTACTGTGTCATTTGGTTACTGGAGCTAAACAGTAGGTTTGCTAATTACAGGGAATTTTTAAGCAGTAGTAAATCTCTGCTCTCTCATTCATCACTGGTTCTTAGGAGAGATCAAGTGACTCAAACAGAAGTGTGTTGGGCAATCTTAATAACTCTAACTTAAGGGGAATTTATAATGACCTTGTATCTCATCAGACTAGAATACCCAAATTTTTCTGAACATTGAACCCTGCCTAGAATTCTCCCTTGGCTTCTCAGAATGAGGCTTCATAGGAGATCTCTGCAAAGCCTTGAACGTTTCAGGAGGCTTCACTGCATGTGATAGAAACGTTTATCTTATGAAGAGTTTGTGTTTGCTTCTTTAGTGTCATCTTTTTTTAAATAAAAACCTAAGTAGATGTTGAAATCACTTTATCTTTTAAATGGGTAGTTTTCTTAGTTGTCTAGATATATTGAGGTGCTTTAGAATCCAGAAAGTCAAGTGTGTAGTACCTAGTCTAGCACATAGTGGACACGTTAGTTAAGTGAATCATTAATGAATACACAGAAATGGAGAAATTTATCTGATTATTCATCAAAGAGGTAGTTTGTTTGAGTGAAGAGGCCTTGACAGTTAAGCCCAGGAGTATTACAAGTGAGAGGTGGAAATCAGTTACCTGGGAACTTATGACCTTGTATTATGTCTAGTGCTGTCAGGAATCCACAAAATTCTTTGAGGAGAAGTCTTAGCAACACCAGTGAAATACATGCAGAGGACCTGAAGGAGAGATGAGAAAGGAAAGGGGAACATGGATAGGTGCCTGCTGAGTGCCCAGGGTTATGGTGGAGACAATCACATGGGTTGTTTCACTTGAGCCTCATGTGGCACTGGGAGCAGGTAAGGAAACAAGACTGCGAACAAAAAGCGCTTGCCATAATTCTAGAGCTGATGGGGCTGGGCTGGAGTTCAAGCAGCACAGGTTTGAACTGCATGGGTCCACTTATAGGAGGGTTTTTTTTCAGCCAAACATGGATTGAAAATATAGTATTCGAGAGGTGCGAGACCCACATATGTGGAGTGCCAACTTTTCTAATACTCAGATACAGCAGGACCAACTGTGGGGTTGAGGATGTGTAGACCTACCAGGGCCCTGGCACCAATCACCTGTGCCTACCAAGGGACAATTGTACAGTCTGAACCCTGTAAACACACTCCTGCTGTGCTGTACCCCACTTGGAATCTTGTAAAGTGAGTTTCATCACACCTGGTGGAATAGAAGAGAAAGCTAAATGTTGTTTCTAGAAGTGATGATAGAAAGGTAAAGAGTCAGGTGCCATTGTCCTGAAGTTTCTTTTTTCTTTTTATACAGAAAAAAATGAGACTGAAAATTTAGAGGAAAATGAAGAACCCTTTGTTGCACCCTTAGGATTGAATGTCCCGTCAGATGTGGAACTGGTATGTGTACTTCTGCTTGAGTGTCAGTCATCATTACTGTTGTTTGTCATTATTGAGCACTGCAAGTGTGAGAGCACAGTGACATTCACAGCTGCTGTGGAGGCATCAAATGCTTTAAAATAGTCTGTGAGTTAGTAGAGAAAGATCACGCTCCACTTATTTTCTTCTGAAAGCAAAGGGTAAGAATAATAGCAAAAGAACTGGACTGAAGCATCAGGGACTTGAGCAGTTGGGTCTCTTTCAGAGATCATACAGTTGAATCCCATATTTTACTTCCATGGAAAACTAAGTGCGAAGTCAGGTGAGTGGGCTCTTATCTGTACAGAGAAATAACAACAGTCTTGCTCAAGGCACTGTTGCTTTCATCAGAGTTGCTTTGTTCTGGCTTTTTAAGTGTGACCATTGTAGCCACCTCACCTTACATTTTCTTCGCAGTTTTCTGTGTTGTGATTAGGTCCCTGTGACATCTCCAGGCTGCCCTTCCACAATAAGGAACTGAGGTGGACTTCCTCGTCCTCTGAGGACTTTGCAGCTGGGGACTGTCTATTCAACATTGACCTGACCTGCTATTTCAGTTACAGCATGTTAAAGCTGAGTTATAACAGGTGTTAAAGCCAAAACAGATTTTTCTTTCTTTTCCGAACATTCATCTCGGTGAGGGGGTTTTAATGTTGCAGTCACTGTGCTAAGCTGGTTTTTGTGCAGTATCTCATTAATGCTAACAGCCCTGTAAGATAACTACCATTACTACCCACCTACCCCCCCCACCCCTGTACAAGTGAAGACACAGACTTGGGAAAGTCAAGGATTTGGCTAATAAATGGCAGGCAGGAACTGAAACCCATGGTCTTAACTATTATGCCATCTGGAGTCACTGTGCTTTACGGGATTTGATATGTTTATTAGGGATGTTTAAAATATTTTTGTTGGGCTAGGTGCAATGATTCATGCTTATAATCCCAGCACTTTAGGAGGCCAGGGCAGGAGGATCTCTCGAGCCCAGGAATTCAAGACCAGCCTGGGTACATAGTGAGTCTTCCGCACTACCAAAAATCAAAACCAGCCAGGCATGGTGGCACACTCCTGTCGTCCCAGCTACTTGGAAGGCTGAGGCATACGGATCACCTGAGCCCAGGAGGCTGCGACTGCCATGAGCTGTGATCATGCCATTACACTTCAGCCTGGATGATGGAGTGAGACCTTAACTCAGAGATGAAAAATAGATACTTTTGTTGCAAGCACGTTACATGAGAAAGATTATCAGGCAATCCTGTTCAATGGCGAGTTTTTCTTTGACATTTTCCTGGCTGGTTTCCAAAGGCCTTGGATGCAGGTGTCCTTTATTTGTGTTTGCATTGTGCACTCCAAATCACTGGGTACGCAGTAGGTGCCAGCAGAACTACTTAATGGAAGGGGTGTCTCTTAGGGTCACTGCACCATCACTTGCTACGATGCTGACTCAGTTCACTGTGAATCTAGCGGCTCTTGCCTTTCATTTTTTTATTACTCTTAATTATATGATGAAGAAAAATACCAAACCAGTCCTTTTAATTTCTTCTCTTATTCATTTGCATACCCTCTTCCTCTCTCTTTTCTCTTATAAATATGGATAAAAGAACTTTATAGACATTGTCTAGTGTAATTGCTACTTATGTGTTTTTTTGGTTTGTTTTTTTTTGAGTCAGCATCTAATTCTGTTGCCCCAACTAGAGTGCAGTGGTGTGATCACAGCGCACTGCAACTTTGACCTCCTGGACTCAGGCAGTCCTTCCACCTTGACCTTCCAAGTAACTGGGACTACAGGCGCCTGGCTAATTTTTTTTTTTTTTTTTTTTTGTAGGCTTATGGTCTTGCTATGTTGCCCAGGATGGTCTTGAACTACTGGGCTCAAGCAGTCTTCCCACCTCAACCTCCCAAAGTGGTGGGATGACAGGCGTGAGCCACCATGCTCAGCCTGTTTCTCCATTTCTGATGTTGATAATTAAACTTTAATTAAAGAATGTTACCTGAATGTTTGATATCCTAAGATTTGCTTTAATGTATTTTCTGTGTAATTTTACATTGTGTGTTCTACTTATTTTGAGATATGCTCTTTATTCTACGTGAGAGACCCTTTAAAATTAAACCTTAAAAACCACAGTTGCTCTATTGCCTGTTTTAATGCTAAAAATGTTATTTAAGGTTGACTGTATGGAGTTTTGATTTTTGTTTTTAGTATGAAGGATATTTTAAATTTGTATTCAAATATAAATAGAGAGGTAGGATAGGATTTTGTTGCTTGCTTGTTTAATGCCTGTTAAAATGTTTAATGGCTGTGAGTCCTCTGCCAAAGTGAGTGTTGCTGGCTGTTTAGTAGCCTGCCAGATTCAAACACTTGCCACTCATTGGAGAACAAAATGAGCTTTAGTGTATGGTAACAATAACGCTCTCTTGCTGTTCAAGAGTTTCTTCTAATGCTGTGGCAGAAAGGTGTTTTGAATAGAGAGTTATTTTGACTCTGGAAACTGTGAGTGCTTGATGGACTCTGATTTGCATCTTTCATTTCCTTTATGGCAGTGTCAGTATTTGATTCTTCATAATTATTGTGATGTTTTTGGCAGTGCTTCATTGTATAAATTATACTCTGTTATGTCTGAGTTAGTGGAGAAAAGGGCTTGTTTTATAAGTTCTGTTTTGGTGACTAAATACCAGAATGATGGCCTCGTGTTTAAATGGACTGTTGCTGCCTTCTCAGGCAGGGCATGGCTTGACTTGCTGATCAGGGAGGATGGAGTGATTGGAAAGGCAGCACTTGCTTTAGGGGTTGTTGGTTTTTATTTTTTATTTTATTTTATTTTATTTATTTATTTATTTTTATTTATTTATTTATTTATTTTGAGTTGGAGTCTCACTCTGTCACCCAGACTGGAGTGCAGTGGCCACTCCCGGCCACCGCAGCCTCGACCTGCTGAGCTCCGGCGATCCTTCCGCCTCAGCCTTCCAAGAACCCAGAATTACAGGCATGCGCTACCACGCCCGGCTAATTTTTTGATTGATTGTAGAGATGAGGTCCCGCCAAGTTGCCCAGGCGGGTCTCGAACCCGCGGGCTCAGGCAGTCCACTCACCTCAGCCTCCCAAAGGCGCGGGATTACAGGCTGAGCCACCGAGCCCGGCGCAGGTTGTTGGTTTTTAAACCCTATGTTGAGTTAGCTCCTGGGATCCTTGAGGTTTTGGATGAAGAGGGAGGCACGGTTAGAGGCTACAGTTCCCACTCCTCCTGGGGAGGCCAGGCGCTGCCATTCCTCGCCCACCTCTGTGAGAGCCCCATGCAGCTCCTGGTCTGGATTGGTTGAGCCTGGACTTGGGCCCCAGTGTGATCTTGCAGCTTTGTTTTGGCTTTCTCTGGCAACTCCCTGTGTATATCTTTCTCCTGTATGGTGAAGACCTACATATGCACACACAGCCCAGCATTGTTTGTCCTGACGTGGTGTGTTTAGTTTCCTGTTCCTTTGCCAGGGTCCTGGATGCTGGTGTGTATCCTGCCTTGGGTTCCTCACATGCCGGTTCCTCACATGCCGGCCCATCCCTAGTTAAGTTTTGTTGTGTTGGGGCTGTCAGGCACTTAACTAGCCTTGTGGGTGGAGAGTCTGGCGCTTTGCTGTCCTCCTCTCCACCTGGTCTCCTCGGTCTCCTGGGATGCTGCCCATGGCACAGATGGACCCTGAGCCACAGATGACACCTGCCAGGTGCCCTGTGTCTTGTGGGCCTGCCTGTTCTCTCCCACTTGACACTTTGCTCAGTGCCTGGAGCAAGAGCTCCCGCAGCTGTGGTCGGAGGCGAGCGGGCTGCGGCTGTTTGGCCCATCAGGACACACTTCTCATGGAAAGGGGTTTGCCTAAACACGTAAGGACAGAGGGAAAGGGGGGTTGATCATTGCTATCATGGCAACATTTAGTCTTGAGCACGTACTGTGTACCAGGTGCTGAGCTAAGAGTTAGGCCTGGGTTTCCAGCCAGGGTGCCAGCTCCAGCACTGAACCTTTAAAGTTAGGCTTTCCTGAGTGCTGTCCAGGTTAGAGCACAATTTTCCTCTAAGCAGGTCCTATGTTGCCACAGAATGAAGGTGGAGAGGAAGACACTTGCTTTACTTCTGATTCCTGTGGAGTAACTGACCTCTTTTTTGGGATTTCTAAGGATTCGTGTCTGCTGGACTCCAACTCCTGCTGTCCTGTCTGTCTTGCAGATGGTTTCTTTGTCTTAGAACTGATTCTGTCTTCCATGCAGGATTGAAGTAAATTTATGGAGTGATATATGCCAGTCTATTTCTTACAGCTTCAGGGTTTCAAAGCTTGTTTTGGAAGACTTTTCCCACCCCAAGAGTTTGAAAATATGTTCCTGTATTTCCTGCTAGTACTTCTATGGTTTTGTTTTTACATTTGAATTTTTGGTTCAGTCTGATTTATTTGGGACTCTGGGCAAAGCAGGCATTTAAATTTTTTCTCCCCTAATCTTAGAGGTGGAGAGAGAGGACTGGCCCAACTATTCCTGGGGTTCCTGGATAATTTCCCATCTTCCATCCATGCTACCCCCTTTCTGTCTCCCTGCTGGATCTGAGGTCAGGTTTTCTAGTGCCCTTAGGCAGCCTCTCACTGTGTGGGCTTTCTCACCCACATGTGCCACTCTCCAGTGCCTGCCCTGCAAGTTGGAGCTGGCCCATAGGGTTTCCAAGGGGAGGGAGGTGTCAGCCCTTCTTAGGCTCAGTGGACTCTATTAAAGACTTCCCCATGGATTTAAGTCAAGAAAGCATCTTTCCTTTTATCTGGTAGTCTTTGTAGCATATGCATATTTATATGTTGACCATATCTTTAAAATCTCAAATTTTGTAGCAGAAATGATTGTGATAGTCATAAATGGAAAAGGGTTTATCTAAAATCTGCATAATAAAGAGCAAAGAATGACTTCCAAATCAGATTTTTTTTTTTTAAGTTAAGAGTCTGGAGTGCAGTGGCTCAAGGCCACTGCACTTTGGACCTGCCTGGCTCAGGCAGTCTTTCTTTTTTTTCTTTTCTTTTCTTTCTTTTTTTTTGAGTTGGAGTCTCACTCTGTCGCTCAGACTGGAGTGCAGTGGCCGCTCCCGGCCACCGCGGCCTCGACCTGCTGGGCTCCGGCGATCCTTCCGCCTCAGCCTTCCAAGTAGCTGGAACTACAGGTACGCACTACCACGCCCAGCTAATTTTTTTGATTTATTGTAGAGATGAGGTCTCGCCAAGTTGCCCAGGCGGGTCTCGAACCCGCAGGCTCAGGCAATTCACTCACCTCGGCCTCCCAAAGCGCAGGACTACAGGCTGAGCCACCGAGCCCGGCCATCAGGCAATCTTTCCACCTCAGCCTTCCAAATAGCTGGAACCACAGGCAAGTATCATCATGCCTGACTAATCTTTTTTTTTTTTTTTTTTAATTGTAGAGACAGATCTCACCAAGTTGCCCAAGCTAGTCTCAAATCCTTGGACTCAGCTAGTCCTCTTGCCAGCGCACTTGGCCAAACCAGATATTTTTAAATCTCATATATACTTAGGTAGCCGATCTTGAAATATGTTCATAAGATGCTTTATTTTTGTGTGATCATTGTTGCTTTGTAAAATTACCTATGCATTGCTTTTTAAGCACTGTAGTAATAATATACCATAAACGGGCCTACTTTCAGGAAATTTTAGACCAACAATTTGGTTTGGTCGGTAGAGAGAACCTATACTGAAGGGAGTCATATTTTCCATGAAGGATCATTATTTTGAAGGGATCTTTGATCATTGATGTGTTCGTGGAGCATACTGTTTTAACAAATCTTCTGTTTAGCCAAAGCCCTTGAAAATCTGCATGTGTAATCCATATTTTAGTCTACAATGGACCTTTAACATGGACTCATTTATTCAGGGATCAGTAAATAACTTTAATTGCAGACATTTATCCTTTTTAAGTGTGAAGGATGTTATTAGTTCAGAAATTAAATTTGAGAGCTAAGCCACTTACATTTTATGAGGGATGAAGCCCTGAAGTGACAGTAAGCCTCTTGAATTCTTAACCGCCCATTTTTAATGAGAATAATTTCCAATTTTATGTGCACTTTGTTAATCCTAGAGTTAATCTCTCAGTTGACATTGAAGGTGTTTTAAACATGCGCTTCGGCTTTTGTCCTGACCAGGCCCGTCCGTGGCAGGGAGTGCTGCGCTCTGGCATAGTGTGGCAGCAGGGACTCCATAGCACGAGGGGAACAGAGGCAGCAGGATTTGATGCTGGTGGGAAACTCACCTGAGTGTCCCTCCCCACGCTGGCCAGACCACACCCAGGACATCTTCGGTCTGGGACACTTGCTTTCACAGGGAGTGGTGTGAGCTGGGGACTGTGCGGGGCTCAGGAGAGCTCAGAACAGAGGAGGACCTAGGGTGGGCTTGTGGCTCACTTCGGATGTTTTGTAAGAGGGAGCCTCTGAGCTGTAAGAACTGATCCTAGCTAAGAACAGGAGAGGGGAGTGATTCTTAGAGCCTTGGGAAACATCGGGAGTAGGTCCCACCCTCTGGAAAATGCATGTGTATGCAGAATGTACATACATCAGGGGACTCACCCCTGAAGCCCATCGTCGAACCCAGGTTAAGGAGCCCTGCTGTGTAGAAAAGTGTGGATTTGGTGCAAAAAAAGTTGCCTCCTATCATTTCTGTCCCAAGGTGGAATGGCCTGCCTCCACGGGTGAGTTTTCTCCCCCACAAAATCCTGGGAGGACTCAGATGGATGAGGCATCCTGTAACCAGGGCAGTGCCAGAAGCAGAGCAGGCAGCTCTTCCAGCTGGAATGTCCCTTGTCTCTTAAATCGGCAGTAGCACCGGGTTGCTTCTGTGTCTTAATTAAGTCGCACAGCCAGAGGACAAATTGATGACATGAATGTGTATTTTCCCATAGCCACCGACAGCCAAAATGCACGCCATCATCGAGCGCACGGCCAACTTTGTGTGCAAGCAGGGGGCGCAGTTTGAAATAATGCTGAAGGCCAAGCAGGCGCGGAACTCCCAGTTTGACTTTCTGCGCTTCGATCACTACCTCAACCCCTACTATAAATTCATCCAGAAAGCGATGAAAGAAGGGCGATACACAGTACTGGCTGAGAGCAAAAGTGAGGAGAAGAAAAGTACGTGAGACTGCTCTGTCCAGACGCTGGGCCTGCCTTGGGGGTGTGGAAGCAGGGGGTCATGTGGAGAGGAACTGGAAGGTGGGCATTCTTAGAGATGTGTGGGTGAGATCTAGACTTGAGGATTGCTAGGATGTTCATGAAATCCTGCCACCGAGGCATGACACTTAACCCTGCTGCTCTGCCCACAGTAAATTCTTAGTTAACATTTTATAGCAAGGTGAAATATGATTGGATTCCGATGCTGTCAGAGCATGCTCATCTAGGTTGGAAATGTTTTCTTTCATTTTGCCTGCTTAACATTTCATAGAGAAAAGTGTTTCATACTTTGTCAGATTATTCTACCAGTGTATGCATCCACAGTGTTTAGGGCTGTAAAGCTAAATTATGCATGTCCACAAAAATGAAACTTTTACTGGAATTATCTATGTTAAGTTATTTTTGAAACAGTCTTACTACAAAGGTCACTTATGTCTCTTTTGAATAAAGGTAATAGTTTGGCAAGTCTCTTTAAGAGTGTAAGTCTCCTGTTGAATTTTGTTCTCTGCAGTTGAAGTATGGTGTTTCAGATCAGTTGTAGAAATCTTATTGCAGATATCGTCATCTTCTCCAAGTGTATTGTAGTTGTTGTTTCTTTTCTTTCGTTGCTGTTATTTTACTTTTCGTAAACCAGTATAATTTTTACCTTTTTTTTTCAATTAAAAGAAATAAAAGCATACAGTCCCCTAGACCAGGGAATGCTGGTGAGAAGTTGCCAAGTGGTCAGAGTTCCTAATCCTTTCTCTCTGGCTTCCTTCTGAACAGTCTGGGTGACTCCAGAGAATATTTTCCAGAGGTTTTTTTTTTAGACAGATGACCCAGAAATGACTATCTAGCTCAGCCTTTGTCTGTTTCCAAGTTTTTACATGATTTATTTTTACTGTTTTTCTCAGCACATGCCAAAATCTTGAAATGTGATTTTGATTTCAGAGTCAGGGGTCAACTCTGACAACGAAGATGATGATGATGAAGATGGAAACTATCTGCATCCGTCTCTTTTTGCTTCCAAGAAGTGCAGTCGCCTTGAGGAGTTGATGAAGGTGGTTATCTCACGATTGAATTGAGGTTTTGTCGCCATAACAAGACTTCTGCTAACTTAGTTTCAGAAAATACTGAGCATGTCATTTCTTCTTGTTTTATTATGGTTGAGGTATATTGCATATTCTTGTTTTAAGCTTGGTGGCAACAAAATTGCTTCCTTTATTACATATCTGTATTGTAAGTCTCGTGAGCAAACTATTTTCCTTTTATTATAATTTCACTCTGAGATATTGAGAATAAGTAGAATATTGGTTAAGACTTGAAAATTGTTTTATTGTGTAGATTTCATTATAGGATTGGATTTTATAGGTGTTCAGAATATGTGCTTCTTGAAGCCCTCTGTTACCTTCGTAGATTGCTTTTAAATAAATAAGTAAATACTTTTGATCCTTCCCCTCATCCATGAAAGAACTCACTCGGCACTGTCTTGTAGCTAATTATACCTCTCGCTCTGCCGTTTGTGACATCGAGAAGCAGGAGTCTGTTGGCCTTCTGCTTATGGTTTTCGTCAGTCATACAGTGTGACTGATCCCTTGAGGGAATGATTCTTGATTGATGGTACTACAAATACTGTTAGTGATTAAAAATCAGAAATTCCTGTAAGGAAGGACAAAGCTTCAAGTTTTGCATGAGCTTGGACATGCACACTTTTAGCAGTAGCAGTCTGGTCCTGATCGTCCCTCTTTCCTTAGTGATTATTTTGGAGATTAAACCCTGTGTTTAGTCAGTTCCTCTGGAATTTACAACCAGCTGGGGCACTTGGTCACATCTGGTCAGGATCTCTGGGCTCATGTGTGTACGTGTGTACGTGCATGTGTGCGCTGAGGTTCTAAGAAACATACACTGTATTCTAAAGCTAGTCTTTTGCAGCAGGAGAGTTCTGCGTGGTTCAGAACTCAGAGTGCTAAGGCCGTGTGTCTTCTTCTCCAGCCTTTGAAGGTGGTGGACCCAGATCACCCACTAGCAGCACTTGTCCGTAAAGCGCAGGCCGACAGTTCTACTCCCACCCCACACACCACAGACGGCACGCCTGTGCAGCCCTCCCAGGTGGAGTACACGACAGACTGTGAGTACTCATGGTGTGCGTCCTGACTTGTGTTCTGATGCAGGGCTCCAGACCCAAAGTTGCTCCCCTCCTTGTGTAGCGAGTGTGATAGTAGGCAGTTCAGACCCAGTGTGTGACCATGAGGGAGGGTGCCAGTGGGTTGTCCGTTTGCTCTGCCGAGTGTTGGCAGGATGGTGGCCCTTCTCCAGAGTTAGCTCTACATTCCAAAAACGAGGATGAGGCGAGGCAAAGGTGGGACACAGTTGGCTGGTCCTGCCCTGATTTAAAAATCTTCCCAGAGGCCATACCCAGTGGCTTCCTTTACCACGTGTGGTATCACGTGGTCTTCCCACCTGCAGTGGAGGCTGGGAAATGGTGCCTGCTCTGGATGTGTTGCTGCCCTAGACATAATCAGAATTCTGTTAGGAACTGGGTGGGTGGATATTGGGTTGACATGCTGTCTTGTCTGCCATGGCTGCTCTCTTAACGGACACACAGCATTAGGCAGCATGTACCATGCACTACAGAGTTACATTTTTTTCTCACTGATTGCTATTCTTTTATCTTTTTAATAGCTTAAAGATTATTACTTGAAGGAAAACCTTGAAGTTCTATTCAACTTGATCTCAGTATCAGGTTTTTGTTTTGTTTTGTTTTAAGTCGAAGTCTCACTCTGTCACCCAGACCGGAGTGCAGTGGCCTCCTGGCCACCGCAGCCTTGACCTGCTGGTCTCCAGCGATCCTTCCGCCTCAGCCTTCTGAGTAACTGGAACTACAGGCGCGCGCTACCACACCCGGCTAATTTTTGATTTATAGTAGAGATGAGGTCTCGCCAAGTTGCCCAGGCGGGTCTCGAACCTGCAGGCTCAGGCAGTCCACTCACCTCAGCCTCCCAAAGGCGCGGGATTACAGGCCGGGCCACCGAGCCCAGCTAGTATCAGGCCTTTTAAAACTCGTTTTTGCAAAGGTTAAAGGTTGAATGAGAGAAGAGCTCTTAGCAAAACTGCTGGAATTCACCGATTCCACCTGCTTCCCAAGCAGATCTGATACCATGGATCCATCTAGATAGCTTGTCTCCTTCAGTTCCACCTGGGAGTGATTGCTTTAAAATGGAAGCTGCTCTTGTTTGGGGCAAGCTTTTGCTGCACATGACAGCTGTGTTCGCTCTACTTCCATCTTAACACTTATGCACACTAAAAACTTTTAGACTTTAAAAATTCATTATTTGGCCAGGTGCTGTGGCTCAAGTCTGTAATCCCAGCACTTTGGGAGGCCAAGGCAAGAGTATCGCCTGAGCTCAGGGGTTCAAGACCTACCTGGGCAACTTGGCGAGACCTTGTCTCTACAATACATAAAAAGAAATTAACTGGGTGTGGTAGCACATGTAGTTCCAGCTACTTGGAAGAGGAGGAAGGATCACCTGAGCCCAGCAGGTCGAGGCTGCGGTGGCCATGAGTGTGCCACCACACTCCAGCCTGGGCAACAGAGTGAGACTCCAGCTCAAAAAAAAAAAAAAAATCTGTTGAGTGAACTTTTCTATATAACCCCGCAAAAAACTCTTAAAGTTAAGAGCATAGATAATGTCTTTAAATGATTAAGTCAAGTCTAATTAAATTTCTGGCCAGGACAGGTGGCTTACACCTGTCATCCCAGCACTTCAGGAGGCTAAGGTGAGAGGGTTGCTTGAGCCCAGGGTTTCAAAACCAGCCTGGGCAACTTGGTGAGACCTTGTCTCTACAATTAATCAAAAAATTAGCTGGGCATGATTGTGTACACCTGTGGTTCCAGCTACTTGGAAAGCTGAGGTGGAAGGATCACCTGAGCCCAGCAGGACGAGGCTGCGGTGGCCATAAGATGCCACTGCACTCCAGCCTGGGTGACAGAGTGAGACTCTAACTCAAAAGAAAAAAACTTCTTTGAGAGTTCGGAAGACAGAGCTTGTGGTGCAGAGAAAGCAGGCAGTCACCTGGGGGCTCCTGTCGTCACTCGTGCCAGGCCTCGAGGCGTGGAGGATGAGAGGTGGCCATGTAGCTGTAGATCATCCTAAGCCCCACCCAGCACCCTGCAGAGCACCCACTCTGTCACCTTGAGGAGTGGAATTGGTGTGACTAGCAGGCGCTGCCAGCTGTGCCCAGTGGGGACACATGCTCACTGAGGCATGGACCCTCCACTTCCTGCTCTCCTTCAAGCCTGCCATTGAGTTTGCTCAGTCCAATGCAGTGACTGTACCTGCCCAGTAGAGACCTAAAGCTATCACACCTGTTGCAGAGACAGGACTAGAAATTCAGCCAGGGGGTGACCTTCATTATCCCCTCTGCTTAGCACTAGTGAAAGCACAGTTCAACTTGGAGTCAGCAATACTGCTGCGCGTGCAGACCTGGCTGGGCCAGACCCACGCCTCGGCATCAACCCTGGGCATCAGTCCCTGCATAGCACCCGGAGCCCCTCCTGGAGTGCAACCCTCAGGGTCTCCACCACAGTCGCCTTTCCAGGATCTGGGGGTGCTGCAGGGTGGGAGAGGTGTCCTGATCCCAGTTTCCAGGGAGAGCCAGGAGCTGGAACTTGCATCTGAATCCTAAAACCCAGCAGACATCAGTGTAAACCTGCACTCAGGCTCGTCCAGCCTTTATGGATGAGTGCCTTTGGCATACCCTGCTGTCACCGTGTGATCCTCGATGGTGCCAGTGCCACAAGCCAATGCAACCTGACCCCATCAGGCCTGCTTCTCCTCTACCTGTGCAGGCCGCAGACGTCTCCAGGAGCCTGGCCACGTGCCTCACTGCTCACTCTCTCCTCTGCAGCACTTTGTGGTGCCTTGTTCAGCCTGTCTCATGATTCTGTGAACTGTTGGATTCCCTGGGTTAAAGTCCCTGATGACCTTGTCTCTGCCCTCAAGAGTAGGCAGTGCAGTAGCAGTGGAATCTGGGTCCTGTGGCGAGTTGTTGGCTGTGGGCAGGGACAGCAGTGGCAGCAGCCACATCTTCCCAGTCGGTCGTGTTGGGGAAGTGCCTGTAATACACAGACTGACTGGGATGTGGTTGCTGGTTTGTAGTCAGTCATTGATAAAGACACTTATGTACAAATGTGGCTCACGTAGAGAGATGGATCTTGGTTTTTGTGCTAGAGTTCAAGGTGAAATTTAAAAGTATTAACATGGTGAGTCTCAACTATGCTTAAAATAATCACTACACTAGAGAGAACTGTGCCGAAAGTCCTGCCAGGCTCAGAATTGCCTCTGGGAAGCTGCGTGTGGATGATTTTTTTCTCTGCATGCTTTTATTTTTCAAATATTTGTGAGTGTGCGTTGCTGCCATACTTAGAAGTAAAACAGAAAGGCTGTAGGCTAATCCCAGTGTTCGAAACGCTCTGATGATGAGGACACCACGGCTTGTAACTCACTCTCAGCTTGCAACAAGCCCAGGTCCATGTGGTTTCTCCCTGAGTCTTTCCCTCAGGTGGTTACCAGGACGTCACTGAGTCACATGAGGAAGGAACAAACCCCAGCACATACCTGATAACTCATGAATACCATATGTGAAGGCAGCGGACTGTTGGGAAAAGTTTAGGAAGTTCCTTTGTGTTCTGGGTGTTCCCTGGCCCACACGGGAGAGCTTGAGGGGACAGGCACCTGCCAGATCTGTCCAGGGGCAGCTCTCAGCCTGTCCTTGTGATCTGCCCAGTGTGTTGCCAGAGTGTTGGTCCCATGGGGTTTTGCACGAACTCTGTTATTCTTGCATCTCCACTGTGTTATGTCCATGCTGTGGGCATGTGTAGCCTTTCTGTCTCTTAAGGAACTAGCTTAACACAGAGGAGGTATAATATTCACAGGCATGTAGGTATGTTTCAGAAGAGGGTTTTAGTTGTGGACTTCGCACTTGGGAAAATTCTCTGCAGAATATTGGAAAGAAAGCTGTTTTAAGGCTTACTAGCAGCACTGATCACCTCTTGGGAGACCCTCAGGTAGGGTAGAGCTGTGGCCACCTGGGTGCTGGAAGAGCAAGGCCTGGGCCCAGCTGGCTAGGGCAGGGCCCATGTCTGGTGAGTAGCGCAGCCGACACAGCCCTGGTCACCTGTCCTACAAACAGAGGCATCGCACACGAGGGGAAAGAATGATGGAGCATGAGCCCTATGATGACAGAAGACCTCTGTGACCTGTATTACACACTGCAGCCTGCCACAGACACTGCGTGAGGGGAAGGCGTTCTGGCTTGACGCAGCAGGCTTGGTGGCTGGGTCCTCCCAGGACCGGGCAGGGACGCAGGTCATCAGGCACTCCTTCATCTGTGAGAACTCTCCTGTGTCCCCTGCCATCTTCTCCCCCTCCCACTGCACATTTTGACTTGAGGTTCGGACCAGCAGGTCTGTGAGGCCCCTTCAGCTTATGGTCTCAAGTTGCAGTTCCACTCTGGGGGGGACGGTAGCTTTGTCATTTATAGGAAGAAAACGTCACCGTATTAAAGTAGAGTACCCAGAAAAGCCAGCCGTGGTGCTGTAGTATTGAAGCGTCTCTGTAGGCAGTGCCCCTCCTTGGCATGGAGCAAGTTCTGTAGCCCAGGTGTCTCTGGAGTGGAGACCAGCTGGGGGAACAGCTCTGCATTCTTGAGTTTCTTCACTGTGTCTACTGGGAGGCCCATGGTACTGTCGGCAGCTGCACCCTGGAGAGAGGGGAGGGTGAGTCACATGTCTGCGACAGCCCAGAAGGAAACAGGCAGTCCACACAGTCACCTTGGGATAGGCATAGAGGTATCTGTCCTGGGCCACACTGGGTTTGGTTGGGGGCACAGATAGGGGAGTCCTCAGATGTGCAGAAAACGTACTTGGGCTGGTTTTCCTGCTCAGAGCTGGACTCAGCCCTGAAGTGTGCCTCTCCCTACCTCCCATGGCAGCTTCATGCCCCAAGGCTGGTCTCCAGATAACTGACCTCCTGGATACACACACACACACACACACACACACACACACACACACACACACACACACACACACACACATGGGAACTGAGCCCACCCTGGCGGGGAGGG